AAGAATCGGCTTTTGGAATATTGGCACTTGCGCTGCGTTCTCTTCAATGAATTGGCACTTCAAAATTGCAACCGAACAATGGGCCAATCTTTGATACGTGCATGATATTTATTTAGAAACTATTTACTTACACTGTGAAATAAGCACACAAAAATTCGTTTAGAAGCGTTATTCACCTTCGCGTATCCATGCGTTAAAAATGAATATTCTTTTATTCTAGGTACCAGCTGAGCGGTGAATTTTCTTTCAGCCAATCACAGCGCGTTTAGCTGTTTTGCCGCCGGCCCTTATTCCCACGCTACTGTAACCCAAATTTGCATATTTTTCTGTTTTGACTAACATATAATATACGTGCCTACAAGAAGCGGAAATATGGAAAGGAAGAGTGAAAACAATTTAACTCTACCGCCACGTTTGCTTCGTTCTTTCAAGCTCCAAAAATGCCTAGGGCCGGTCATTTTGTCCACTCATGGTTTGCGCGCCACGTTCACCGCTCAGCTTGTACATAGTTAATATATTGTTATGGGAACTACATACTATCTTATCAGGATAAATAAAATGCATTAACGCCATTTAACGAGCAGAATCTATCCATACATCAGGAGTTCCATGCTACTGTTCTACACGCATGCTCAAGGGGTCAAAAAGTGGGATCCTGGGTCGTAAAAATTGCTATATTTTAATTGTATTTTTTCTTATCAAGCACAATTTTTATAAAATATTCAAGAGCACGTAGCGTTAAGTTAATTCCCAAACAAATATACCAATATATAGCAATTTGTTTACAACCCATGATCCAACTTTTTGACCTCTTGAGCATGCGCTTAGAGCAGTAGCGCGGAACTCTTACTGTATGTATTTAAAGCCGATTACGATTATTTTGAAGTCAAACTTTTACCTACCCACCCCTCCCTTGCTAGTAAAACAATTGATCATAATAATTAATCTATAAAAAAAGATATATTCCTTTTGGACTTAAGGCTAACACTATCCTTGTGTAAAAGGGGCGCCAGACATCATATAAACGCTTTCACTATTTGGTAGCTTTAAAATTCATTAGAACTAATTCGATATAACTGTCACTCTGATTGGCTACAGAGCCCGTGTCTATAAATCTAACATTAGCATATAGGTGACGTCATGAGCAYGCGCATGTTGACCAAAACGACTGTTTTTTCAAACCCCAGACATTTTGGAATTTTAATTACCTCCTGGCTTAACACACGCTTGAAAAGCAGTTTGTTAAAGACGCGATTACACGGAGAAATTTTCTCTGCAGCTTGTCTCTCAATGGCGTTGCGACACAAGTCGCATGGAGCATTGCAGCGTGTAAACTACAGCACAATTTGAAAAAATGTTGTGAGACAAGTTGCAGCAATTGTTTGCGTCTCCGTTGCACCGTGTAAACACTCAAGCAACTTGTGTCGCAACGCTGTTTCCTCGCAATTGCTCCGTGAAATYCGCCTCGAGTAGGTAGCGGTTACTTTCAACTAAACTTTGGTGTGTTTTATATAGAATAAAAAAATTATTCATCATGGAAAAGTAATAAATGATACTTATTCATTTGTCTCTCTTTGGTTGGTTTTTTTCTTTTCCGCGATTTCTTTCACCGTCACAGTTTTTCTTATAGTGTTATTATAAATATACTATAAATTGGRAACAAGCTTGAGAGCTCTTTTTGTTCTAGACTTCTGCTGTATATGATGTAGATCTCTGTTGTCGCATGGTGGCATCATGTTATCAAATTCAGTTTCCGATCTTTTGTAGCGAGTACATCACGCAAGTGTTTTAATCCATTATGACTTATTTGGTTGTAACCGATGTACAACGTGCTTAGTTTGCACTCATTTCTGGCGAGTGCTTTACGCAAGTGTTTTAATCCAACTTCACCTATTTGGTTGCAACTGATGTCCAACGTGCTTAGTTTGCACTCATTTGTAGCGAGTGCTTTGCACAAGTGTTTTAATCCATCAACACCTATTTGGTTGTCACTGATGTTCAACGTGGTTAGTTTGCAATCATTTGTAGCGAGTGCATCAGACAAGCGCTTTAATCCATCATCACCTATTTGGTTGTCACGGATGTCCAACGTGGTTAGTTTGCACTCATTTGTAGCGAGTGCATCAGACAAGCGCTTTAATCCATCATCACCTATTTGGTTGCCAATGATCTTCAACGTGGTTAGTTTGCACTCATTTGCATCAGAAGACCCTGACATGAGTAGCTTATACATATCCTGACACCCAATAGATGTAATGTGG